AATAGAATAGAATAGAATAGAATAGAATAGAATAGAATAGAATAGAATAGAATAGAAAATGAATTGAATAGAAATTAGAATAGAATAGAATATAATATAATTCTTTTTTTGGCCAAGAGTGATTGGACACACAAGGAATTTGTCTTTGGTGCAAATGCTCTCAGTGTACATAAAAGAAAAGAGACATTTGTCAAAAAGAGTCCAGAATCATCAGGTCCAACACTTAATGATAGTCACAGGGCACAATAAGCCACCAAATCCTACTAGGAAAGAGTCCGTATAAATCGTAAGGATACAAGCGACATTGTATTCTATTCCATTCCATTCCAATCCAATCTGTTCCTTATTCTAATTTCTATTCTAATTTCTATTCTATTCTTATTTTCTATTCTATCCTCCTCCTCCCCCTCCTCCTCACAACCCCCCTCCCTTTCTAAAACCGGTGCCGTTCTCTAGCTGGGTCAGGACACACTGGCAACAAACGCCCCCCCCCCTCCACAGCTCGGAGAGCCCCAGGGACCCCCAAATCCAACCCTGAGCCGCCGAGATTCTCGGCCGCCAGCCCTGTGGCTGACCCTCTGAGCGTGCACACACACCCCCTGTGAACACAACGGCCACCTTCCACCGCTGGGGGTGGGGGGGTGGGGGGAGCTTTGTGGAGCTTCCCAACCCCTGGGGGAGCCCAGCCCCTCCCTTGGAAAGCCCCCTCCCCACTTCAGAAACCGTGGGTTGCAGCCGCCCTGGGGTTGGTGGGGGGGGGGGAAATGGGGTGGAGGGAAAGCCAAGAACGTTGCTTCTCACACACCGCCTGCCAGCTGGCAGCGGATGCCCAGGTCCCGTCCCCCCCCCCGCCCCTCCTTGGCAGCTGTGCCCGCTTACTCACGCTTGGCAGTCAGCAGGGTGGTGCCATGGCAACAGGAGACGGAGACCACCAGGCTGGGGGGCCCCTCTTCCAGCTGCACGGGGCGGGGGCTGCTCGGCTCCTCCTCCTTCCGGCCCAGGCGGCCCCGGGCGCTCTTGCCCCAGGTGTAGACCTCGCCATCTGGGGAGGGGGGGGGGGAGGCACCGGGCGGCAGGGTGACGGGGCTGCCACCCCCCACCCACCCGGCCCCAAGTGGTACCCAAAGGCCGAGGAGGCTCAGGGGCCGCTCACCTGCTCCCACTGCCAAGGTGAAGGCGTCCCCGCAGCCCACCAGGGTGACTCGGGTGGCCTGGAGCCCCTCCACCAGGTACGGGGCCCGGCTGGCCCGGCAGGAGACGGGGCCCAACTGGCCGTGCTGGTTGCTACCGATGGTGTAGCACTGGCCGGAGGCTGCCGAGGGAAAAGAAGGATAGCGCGCTGGGCGGTGGGGGGAGGGTTCGTTAGCCCTCCTCCCCCTTCTTTCGGGGTGGGTGGGGGGTTCCTGGCCTCAGCCTGCTAACAATGGCCAGGCAAGGAAGGGGACAGACGCTAAGACCAGCATCCTGGCCTGGTTTCAGAAGTGATGCTGGTCGAGGGCAAGGGGAGAAAGCGGCAACTGATGGCATTCCCTAGTTAGGTCGTGAAACGTCTGCAAGGAAAGACCCAAGCTCAGAGGGCCCCAAGGTCCCCCCAGTCTTTTTCCCCTTCTCTTCTCCTCCTCCTCCTCCTCCTTCCTCCTCCTTTTCACAACCCTCCTTCCTTCTAGCACTGATGATGTTCCCTAGTTGGGTTGTGAAACGTCTGTAGGAAAACCACTCAGCTCAGAGAGCACCAAGGAGCCCACAGTCCTTCCTCCTCTTCTTCCTCCTCCTCTTCCCCCTCCCCCTTCTTCTTCTTCTTCCTCCTCCTTTTCACAACCCTCCTTCCTTCTAGCACTGATGGCATTCCCTACTTGGGTCGTGAAATGTCTTCAAGAATAGAACCCAGCTCAGAGAGCACCCAGGACCCTACAGTCCTTTTCTCCTTCTTCTTCCTCCTCCTCTTCCTCCTCCTCTACTCCACAACTACCCCACCTCCCTTCTACAACTGATGGTGTTACTTAGTTGGGTCATGAAACATTTGCAAGGAAACCACCAAGCTCAGAGAGCACCAGGGACCCCACAGTCCTTCCTCCTCCTCTTCCTCCTCCTTTCCCCTCCTCGTCCTCTCCTACTTCTTCCTCCTCCTTTTCTACACACCCCCTTCTAGCACTGATGTTGTTCCCTAGTTGGGTCATGAAATGTCTGCAAGAACCCAGCTCGGAGAGCACCCACGGTCCTTTCCCTCTTCTCTCCTCCTCCTCCTCCTCCTCCCCTCCTCCTCTACTCCCACCCCTGGTCCTAAGTTGGAGAAACGCTCATAATTCACTTTTTTTCGGTGCTGTTGGAACTGAGAACGGTCACTAAACGAACCGCTGTATGGCGAGTCCACCAGGACGGCCATTCAGGGCTCCCCTGAGGCTCTCACCGTTGATGGCTGCGGAGTGGGCCGTTCCGATGTCCGCGCCCACAATGACCTCTTGGCTCAGAGGGGCCGAGCAGGCAGGGCTGAAGGTCAGCACTTCCTCCACCTGGTCAGCAGCAGGGAGGGGCTCCCCTTGGGACACAATCCTGTCCTGGCAAAGCTTATTGTACCTGGGGGAAAGTGGGGGTGGGGGAGAGTCAGCATCTCTTGCGGTCCTGGCAGCAGAGTCGGACAGTAGCGAGGAGGTTGGGGAGGGACCTGGGCCGGTCCTGGAATCTGGGGGAGGCTCGGACGAGGCAGAGATGGAGCCAGGGCTGTCCGACCGTTATTGGCTGCCTTCGGAGTCAGAGATCAGTGGGGCAGAAGAACAGCTGGAGCCTGTTCCCAGTGTGCGCATGCACAGAGCTGTCCGAAGAAGGGAACAGCTCAGGAACAAGGGTCGACTTGGGAGTAAGGGCACAGGGGGACGGTGAACGGCCCCTCCCATCAGGATTAAGAGAGGAGCAAAAGGGGAGGGGGGCTTTTGCAGGAAACAATCCGCTCGTGAAGGTTTGTCTGTGTAACCCAGCCCTTCCCTGCCAGCACTGAGCGTGGGACTATTTACCGGGCAGCGTTCCAGGATTGCTAAAGGTCTGAGCTCATTAGTCTACCTTCGCAAGACTGTTGGCCAAGCCGTTGGCTGAATGTGGAGTGCATTAAATTCACATTCATTTAATGAAAAGGGGTTTTGACAGGACTCAAGAGCTGATGTAGTGCTTTTTGGGGAAAGCCTAGGACAGGGCAGTGTCCAGCTGCAACCGCTTACCTTGAACCCCCTCTGGCCAGCTTGGCTCTCAGCTGCCAGTTCAGCCTCTGGTCCCCCAACCAAGATGGGGTGGGTGGGGTTTCTATCCTCTGGGGAGAGTGGGGGGCACAAAACTTGAGTCCTAGTGCGATCCCCATCCCTTCCTGGACAGGGGACCCTCGCCAGATAACAGATCATCAGAGTTGGAAGGGACCTTGCAGGTCATCTAGTCCAACCCCCCGCCCAAGCAGGAGACCCGACACCATTTCTGACAGAACGGCGGTCCAATCTCTTCTTGAAAGCCTGCAGGGTTGCCCTACCTGTTGCTGCCACAGGCCAGAATCTGGCGGTTGGAGGTGAGGACCATGGAGGCATCGATGCCACACAGCACCTTCTGGGCTTCGTAGCCGGAGGGGAGGGCCACCAGCTGTGGGGAGTTGTGGGACTCCTGGTTCCCCAGCCCCAGGCGCCCTAGGGAGATGGAAGACGGGGGGGGGGGGGGGGGGGGGGGGGGGGGGGGGCCCCCCCGCCCCCCCCGCCGGGGGGGGGCCCGGGGGGGGGGGGGGGGGGTCAGGAGAGCTGACGCCAAGGCCGTCCCGCCCCCCCACACACACCCCTCCATTCTCTCCCACCCCTTCCTTGCACCCCTGGGGAGGCCAGGCCAGGTTGGTCTTGGGGCAGGAGAAGACAATACGGCCACCGAATAGAGAATGGAGAATAGAATAGAATAGAATAGAATAGAATAGAATAGAATAGAATA